GATGAAGGTACAGTACTCGCCGTTTGAAATCGAAAATTCACGCGAATAACGCGAATCCTCGTTAATTTCGTGAATTCGTTATAAGTCGGGTCAGAGTGAAGTATTCCAAAAACGGAAAGACCGTTGAACTCAGCTCTTCAAGCGCTACAAGATGGTGCTGTAATATTTTCAGAAAGCTTGATTTCGGGATGCGCCATGCACACGGGTTCTATCTCAAGAGCTAGGAAGAACGTATACGCTGCGCGCTCAGTACTAATTATGGAGGCTAATTATTCGCATGGAGAAAACGTTCCACACCTGGTCTGGAGTGCGCCACACATCCGACCCATCAAATGGATTGAAGTTAATTGAATGTATGCCAGGTTTCTATGTCATTTTCATGTACTGAGTAACTGAAAGTATTGTCGCTGCGCTGGATACAAGTGCTTAATGTATTTTGAACCAAATTTTAGTTGAGTTTTAAGCACACTTCATACCCTAATTTTGTAATTTCTCTCAAGTTTGGAGGGATATTTCGTCGAAGTACGAGAAGGCAGGAATGAAATCGCCCTATCATCTGGGACTAAAGTTAGTACTCTGCAGGAATATCGTGTCCAAATCGATCGCGTGCGAGCGTTTCTGCTATGGTGTTGTGTCAAATATCAATGCGCGGCGTACCCTGATAAAAAGACCAGCCTTTTTTCGCTTTCGAACTCAACGATATGGCTGGCGAAAATTGCGGTTGTGTTCTTCAGAGCAAGGCTATTATCAGCGACATGTCAATCATGACGCAGTGAAAACATAGTTTCTCCCCGATTTTTGACCGTTTGTCCTACAGTGCTTAACATGCCGAGCCATTGACGGCTACCCGTACTTCGCGAGACTGCGCCAGCAGGGCCAATGAACTAACCTAGAACTGACATCGGTCGAGATTTGCCAGGGTTCGTTCCGAAGCTCATGTCAGAACGAAGGGTAGAATGCGCATGTGACCGGCATCTATCCGAAATTCGTGGAATCGATTGCATGCGTATACTCCCTTTACATCGGTATCACTGATCGTGAATTCGTTATAACTCGGTTCAAAATTGAGCTTTCGAGAATCCGAAGATATCTTTGAATTCAGCTCGTCGGACACTATAAGAATGTGCTTTGATACTTTGGAAAAGCTCCATATAGGATTGCGCCATGCACTCGATTTTCATCTCAAAAAGTAGTTGCTCGCATGTGATGTGTATATAATCCCGCTTATGCGGGCTGACCGCTACACACAGAGAAGGGCCTCAAAACTTACCCCAGAATGCGCCACGTACTCAATCTCATCCACTACATTGTGAGATTAGATGAATGTTATTTTCCGAATTCTTAGATCTTCATTTCGTTTTTAAGCGCTTACTGGCTTTACGTGTTCCCTCTGCTCTCAATATCCCATCCTCTGTATATCAAGTGGAATCTTTGAACAGTTCTCAGCAGGCATAGTGGGCCTATTATGTGACATTTTCCATTTTCAGAGGAGATGTTTTGCAGAAAGCTGTGAAGATAGCGAACAATTTCCTTCACTGTCGTAGACTACGGTCACTTGTCTGTAGGAATTATGTGGAAAACTCGGTCGCAAGTGAGCGTTCCTTCCGTGGTGTGGCCCCAAACATGCCTCCTCGTCATGCCCTTGTGGAAAGTTCAGATTTTTTGCATTTCCAGATGAACTCGCAGACCTGAAATGTGCCCCGTTAGCTTCCCCGTGAAAAATGCTATCGAATGATATGCATCAGCGACCCCAAAACCCCTATACACACGTTTTCAGCGGATTTGGTGGAAACAGCCGTGGCGCCAAATTGGCGCCAAACGGCGCCAAATGGCGCCAGCGCTAAAAACGGGTGTCGTTTTCGTAATCAGGACCCCAAATAACCCCAAATGACGAAGTTTCAGCAGATTTGGTGAAAACAGCCGTGGCGCCAAATTGGCGCCAAACGGCGCCAAATGGCGCCAAATGACACCAGCATCAAAAAATGAATGTCATATTCGTAATCAGGGCATCGAATTACCCCAATAGACAAAGTTTCGACGAAAAATGAAACTTTGAGATTTTGGGGCAGTAATCGTGGGATAGTGAATCCGGCAATAGGGGAAGGCTGAAAACGGTGAAAAACCAAAGTTTCAACTGGGGAAGTAATGCATATCATTCGATAGCATTTTTCACGGGGAAGCTAACGGGGCACATTTCAGGTCTGCGAGTTCATCTGGAAATGCAAAAAATCTGAACATTCCACAAGGGCATGACGAGGAGGCATGTTTGGGGCCACACCACGGAAGGAACGCTCACTTGCGACCGAGTTTTCCACATAATTCCTACAGACAAGTGACCGTAGTCTACGACAGTGAAGGAAATTGTTCGCTATCTTTCACAGCTTTCTGCAAAACATCTCCTCTGAAAATGGAAAATGTCACATAATAGGCCCACTATGCCTGCTGAGAACTGTTCAAAGATTCCACTTGATATACAGAGGATGGGATATTGAGAGCAGAGGGAACACGTAAAGCCAGTAAGCGCTTAAAAACGAAATGAAGATCTAAGAATTCGGAAAATAACATTCATCTAATCTCACAATGTAGTGGATGAGATTGAGTACGTGGCGCATTCTGGGGTAAGTTTTGAGGCCCTTCTCTGTGTGTAGCGGTTAGCCCGCATAAGCGGGATTATATACACATCACATGCGAGCAACTACTTTTTGAGATGAAAATCGAGTGCATGGCGCAATCCTATATGGAGCTTTTCCAAAGTATCAAAGCACATTCTTATAGTGTCCGACGAGCTGAATTCAAAGATATCTTCGGATTCTCGAAAGCTCAATTTTGAACCGAGTTATAACGAATTCACGATCAGTGATACCGATGTAAAGGGAGTATACGCATGCAATCGATTCCACGAATTTCGGATAGATGCCGGTCACATGGCGCATTCTACCTTCGTTCTGACATGAGCTTCGGAACGAACCCTGGCAAATCTCGACCGATGTAAGTTCTAGGTTAGTTCATTGGCCCTGCTGGCGCAGTCTCGCGAAGTACGGGTAGCCGTCAATGGCTCGGCATGTTAAGCACTGTAGGACAAACGGTCAAAAATCGGGGAGAAACTATGTTTTCACTGCGTCATGATTGACATGTCGCTGAATAGCCTTTGCTCTGAGAACACAACCGCAATTTCCCCAGCCATATCGTTGAGTTCGAAAGCGAAAAAAGGCTGGTCTTTTTATCAGGGTACGCCGCGCATTGATATTTGACACAACACCATAGCAGAAACGCTCGCACGCGATCGATTTGGACACGATATTCCTGCAGAGTACTAACTGTAGTCCCAGATGATAGGGCGATTTCATTCCTGCCTTCTCGTACTTCGACGAAATATCCCTCCAAACTTGAGAGAAATTACAAAATTAGGGTATGAAGTGTGCTTAAAACTCAACTAAAATTTGGTTCAAAATACATTAAGCACTTGTATCCAGCGCAGCGACAATACTTTCAGTTACTCAGTACATGAAAATGACATAGAAACCTGGCATACATTCAATTAACTTCACAATCCATTTGATGGGGTCGGATGTGTGGCGCACTCCAGACCAGGTGTGGAACGTTTTTCTCCATGCGAATAATTAGCCTCCATAATTAGTACTGAGCGCGCAGCGTATACGTTCTTCTAGCTCTTGAGATAGAACCCGTGTGCATGGCGCATTCCGAAATCAAGCTTTCTGAAAATATTACAGCACCATCTTGTAGCGCTTGAAGAGCTGAGTTCAACGGTGTTTTCCGTTTCTGGAATACTTCACTCTGACCCGACTTATAACGAATTCACGAAATTAACGAGGATTCGCGTTATTCGCGTGAATTTTCGATTTCAAACGGCGAGTACTGTACTATTTAGTCGCTGTTAATGACAAAATTCTACGTAGGAAAAGCTGCTTTGGAGAAATTTTACATTGATGAGCAAGGAGAAGCGGCCAAAACGACGCCGGATCCTTTGATCCGGTAAATATTAGTACCGCATTATTAGGTAAAAAAAGTTAGTAGACCAGAGGCAGGAGAGTCAACTGGGCCACAGCTAATCAAGACTCGTTACTAACCACAGTCACTGAAGTGAAGACGTTCGTCTCTTCCTTCGTGGTCGGTCAAGGTGTCATGTTTGCTTCGACTATTGTGGCAGCAGCTTAGACACTAACAGTCTACTTACAAAAAAACTATTCGACAAAGTTATTCGATGAATTCAAATTTGCATTCCATATGGGTACTTAACGCATTCCACATTTATCAAGCTAATGTAGTCGAGAATACTAGATGATGTTGAAACAAAAGGCTCTTTAACAAAGGAATCCTTTCGGCGGAAAATTCTTGATTCTTTCTTGAAAGGATGTGTCAGTTGAGATCACTGGAAACAGCACATAAAGTTTCACGCATGAAGATTCGGTTTCCGAAGAGAAACATACGTACGAAAAACTTACTCTCTATGGATTGTCGGGGGCAATCGAAGGTAGTTCGGGTGGAGGCCAAAGGCGGAGGCGTGAAAGAAGTTGGCTTTGGCCGGCTACGTATCAGGCGACGCAATGAAAGAATCGGGTTAAAGCGCGCGATTTCGGAGAGTAGAGACAAATCGATCGATAGAATAGGATGGAGTAGAAGTGTAAGATGTGAATGCAATGAAGCAGAAGGCCAGAAAGAGCTTCTAGTGAAGGCACTCCAAGAACCAAAGGGAAGCATCCCGTCGCAGCATTTGTTGAAAACATTGTCGGATGGGCACTTTGACAAGTCGGTAGCAGCCTTTCGACTTGGGTCGGAATTTTTAACCGAAACAAAGCAATATAATCTGTTTTCTAATCTTAGATCGTGATAGTGGTTCAAGCCTGGGATTTATTTCTGAAATGGAATCATGAATTTTTCGTGAAGGTTCTTTAAGAACGATGAGATATATAGGCAGAAGGTGGTTTCAGCAGAATAGGGTAGTGGTAATTGCGCTGTTGTCTGTCTTATCGCTCTTGCGCTCTGACTAGTTTAACAGCCTTCCATCGCCAAGAGCGCATTGGTAATAGACTTGTCTGGGCGGATGGAAAACTCAGAGGACTTGTAGCATTGACACGTGGTATATGTATTGGGGCGAAGTCGGTTCTGAATGGTGGCCGCCCAATTACGGTGAATTGGTTTGTATATTTAGTAGTTATGCATTTTCATCAAATCTCGGAAGGGAATGATTAGTGACGAATGCTCTATCCTTTATTCATTAGATTTTAAGACATAGTTTGTTCTCTCCCCGTCATTTCAAATCATCTTCAGAGGGTACGGCGAAAAATGGAGAAAACCCGATGCGCCGTAATCGGAGATTTCTCATTTTATTTATTAGTTAAACACATTACTACCTTGCTACCCACTTCGCGGTTTCCCAATTTTTCGGTAGATTACGTTTCGCCATGGCTGTGACCTTCGTGTTCCCGTTAAGTGCGCAAGTGAAAAGTCCTCGAAGGACACATACTCGAAAAAGCGCTAATTGAACGAATAGTTTAATTAAAAGATGAAATGTGGACTCACGTCATTCGAACAATAACATATCAAGCCCAGATAACGCTTAGGTATCAGTAGCACAGAAGTGCGCGAAGGTGGTAGGGAATATATTGAAGCCATGAATCTTGGAACTACGTGAATTATTGGGCCACCGGTTCGCGTCCCGCCATCAATCAACGATCTCCAGTGGAAGAAAAGCTCTGCAAGGGTTTCGGACTGTGATAGTGCATATGGTTATTGATCGAAGATCATTTCTAATTACTCGAGGGCTGTGTTATTTGATTTGATAATAGGTATCGGATCATAATAATGCAGCTTCATTATGGATAAACGGTATTCATGAAGTTAGGTACTTTGCGTATATTTATAAGGATACGCTCATCGCTATTTCTTCAGTATTATTATTTTTCTTTGAGTTCGAAAGCGGGTTCCTATTATTTTTGAATAGTTTTGATCATCATCTTAGTGGGTATTGGTCCTTCATGATACGTTGTTTATTGTGTCTTATTATTCTTATCTTTCGACATTCTCTGCACATGATCTTTTTCTGGGTCCACTGTATCCGGTCATATGAACTCATCTAGGCTGGTTATCCCGCCGTCTGAGGGTCGAAGTGTGTATTGTGCATTAAGGACTGTATGATCGCGCGAGGCGTCGGTTATTTGTTTACGATTGTTGCGCAGGATAGAGAGAGAGAGGAGGTCGCATTCAAACGAGACCACGAATGTACGAATGGAAGCGTAATGCGTGTCGCTTTCCAAAATGGGATTGATCAACGGCAAATGCTTTATGCCTTTGCTTTTAAACCATTCCTGACATCTCTAATAAGGATTGTTCGTCGACATTATTTTATACATCGTATTTTAGTTTAGAGTGGGAGCCTCAATGTGTTACGGGACATAGCCTAAGGATCAACCGGAACCTAAAGAGATTTTCATAGAGTAAGAGAAAATCCTCCTCTTCGAAAACCAGTCATGAGAAAATAATTCACTCCCAAAAATTAATGTGATTTATTCATGCGTCCGATGGAGGCGCTAGAACATGATGCAACACATCGTTTGAAACGGTTCTATAACTATAGAGATCAACTATCAAATGACGGCTCACCCTTTATAATTACAACACTCATCATTTACAACCTAGTGCAAAAAATGTGTAAGGGCGAGTGGCGCTGCTTACCACGCCCACGGTCCAGAATCAAACCATGTCCTATACGCCGTGAAGGCAAGGAAATCGTTCCCTTCCACATAACTCAATTGAGGTCAGATTTGTCTGTGAGGATGAAACACTGAGTGGTACATGGGCTGGCCTCCGCAATTCATTGTGTAATATAAGACGACTTGCATTCGAATTGCTATTGCTGGATTGAAGAAGAATGCGCGGCATATACTTAAAAAGCGAATAGTGCTACATTTTGGTTGGTCACCGGAAGGCACTCTAAATAGGATCGAGCCGAGGGGGAAAGGTGCTAGAGTCTATAGCTAGAAGCGAAACCCTTCCTCCAAGAAAATTGGACAATGTAGTCACCTGTCCACAGTAAGGCGATCACTCATTTCATCCAATGGAACTAAAAAGAACTGCATGTCAGCACCTTGCCCCTTTTGTTAAAGGTGTTTCGCCTCGACCATTCCTCAATAAGCCTGTATTTATGATCACGCGGGCTCCCACCGAAGTTACACAAGTTCCGCTGGAAACAGTGGGCAGGCTTTTGTAGCAGGAGGTGTGACGTTTTTGTAGGAAAAAAGTGTGTTAGTTGCACAGCAGTAAGGCTCCGATCCCCAAAGCTGCTCCGCCCACGAGTCTTGCTGCCGGGAAGAGCATCGTGTGCTTTTTATTCGGAAAGATAATGTGGGTTCTAACGGCGGTATCTTTTAGTCTCTTTACTTGATGCGTCATCAATCAAAGCATGGTATGGGGCCGGCTCCCGGAGTTATACATCCAGAAGACCTTTTCTGTCTGTCCAACTGAAAACAGACGGGTCCCATTTTGCGTCCCTTCAGATGAAACGTTTATCCATTCACTGCATAATTGTTTGATGGCTTCCCAATTGATAAGAAAGGGTATTCTGGTAACAGTTTTACCCCAACCCATTCTATTATTAATTAAATGAAGTCAGTGCTAGTGTTAGTGTTAGTGTTGCTTTAGTGTTGTCGAAGTTCAGTTCCACTGGGTTAGTGGAGCGAAAAGGGTTGAGCTAGGTATGGCTGCTCCACCATTCTCAAAAGAAAGATTGCAGCATTGTTTCTGGTCTTTGAGCTGCTTCTTACAGCAAAAAACCAGAAACCTTCTTACAGGAACAAATCATCTGGTAGGCCTGACACAGCAAAGTGGCTACATGGGCACTGCTTGGCTACGGCGCGCGCCAATAAGTGAAGCCATAGCGCTCCGCTAATGGGCTTGAGAATGAGTTTAGTGGCATTTATAAATCCTTCCTTCTCAAATCTCAGTTTATTTGGATGGTGGTCATACATTTCCACTGTGACAGATTTTCGCTCGTCAGGGGCTTTTTTAGTGCAAAGTGGTTACGGCGTGCATATTGTCGCTCCTTTGTTACAGCCCAAAGGGTCAGACACTTCTTTTCAAATAACTGCTTCTTTCCCACTTTCTAATTTGATTCAATAACAATTGACAGATAACCTGAACAGGTTTTATAGAAATTTCAAAAGCTCAAAGCTGAGAAAGTCATTAAAATAAGTGTTGACTGGCCGGAATGGTGAAAAAAGAGCACTTCTCAAAAAGGATTCAAAATTTTATGTTGGTTCCACTTCCTCACGTCGGTATAACAAAATTGCCACTTTAAAGCTAGGCCAACTTTTTTAAAAAGGGGTTGGTCATTCTTTGGAAGATTCTCTGATTTAGAAAGAGAAGTTGGTCATACATATACATATCATACTTCTGAAGGGCATGAGGCTCTCAGGAGTTTTTAGAAATGCCCACGAATTTTCGAAAATTTTCAAATTTGACGTTATCTTAGTCATCGTCGAGCTCAAGGAAGACTACCGTAATCGCTCCAGCTTCGAACTGCTACGTAATTTCTTCAATCAGTTCGCTGATGAATAGCCTCAGATGAATAGCTCCTCGGTGACACTTCGTCTGACTATGCAAAACCCCTTTAGGAAGCCGTTACAGATAAGTTCGTTATAGCCCACGATCCTTCGAGGACCTCACTGAGTTTGAATCGTACACCATGTTTCCGCGAGAAAATTTTCTGAAGACGCCAGGGTCTTGTGGAGAATGGGATGTCGGTCTTCAAGTTTGGATTTATGTGGTTCAGGTTTAGCAAGATGTAATTCAGTCCGTTATGGGTGTTAAATGAAGTGACTCTTTTTTTGCCCCCCCCCCCGCTAGTCATGGAAAACAAGTGCATAAAGGTGTGGTGCGTATGTAGTTTTTTTTCAGCTAGCTAAGAACAAAAACAAACCAAGGACGCTGCGAAAACTCGCCCACATTCCTCAGACAGTATGATCGTGAGAAAATCACGTCGAAATTTGAGCAGTCACTAATTCTACCAGGATCAGAATCTGGATCCCTAATCAGCTTAATCATTCCCTAAGACGAAAATGTGCCAAGCCGAGTCGCATGGCTCATTTTTTTGAAATACCCGGAAACCATATTCTAAACACACAGTTTTCCGAAGCCGAATAGCTGAGGAGCCCTATGGTCGGTTCATAAATAACT